GTGGACACACACACACACACACACACACACACACACACACACACACACACACACACACACACACACACACACACACACACACACACACACACACACAATGATGCTGATAATAATGGCGCTCACTACGATCGTGTTGCACAGGAACGAGACGGTGCGCACTAGGGAGTCGAACTTGGGCAGCTTCGTGGCGGACATCATCCGTTCGGAGACCGGGGCCGACGTGGTGCTCTACAACGGCGGCACCCTGCGCTCGGATTCGACCTACGGCCCGGGCGAGTTGACCCTCAAGCACCTGGTGAGCATCTTGCCCTTCCCGACCCCATCGTCGTCATCGAAGTCACCGGCGAACAACTCAAGGCCGCGCTCGGTACACGCTAACCACACACACACACACACACACACACACACACACACACACACACACACACACACACACACACACACACACACACACACACACACGCTCCACACACACACACACACACACACACACACACACACACACACACACACACACACACACACACAACTTGGCGCTTACATGTCTTATTTTTACCGGCTTCTCGCTCGCAGAGAATTCGGTGAGTAAGGTGCCGGTGCAGGAGGGCCGCTTTGCCCAGATCAGCGGCATGCGATACGTCTATACTCGCAGCCAGCCCGCCGGCCAGCGCGTGCTCCACGTACGCCACCCACGCCCCCGTGTGAGACCAAGCCATCGTTAGCAGCGACTGACCAGTAAAGTCGATTCCCATCTCATCATCATCATCGTCATCATCAGGTGGAGGTCAAGGGAAAGCTGCTGCAGGCGGACAAGAAGTACACGCTGGCGACTAAGGCCTACATTGCGGACGGGCACGACGGCTTCGAGTCCCTGCCCGGCGGCAAGGTCATCGTCGACGAGGAGAACGCCCGCCTCCTCTCCGCCATGGTTGGCCCTCACCCCCGCACCCCCGGCACCACTTGTTAATAATGATGCTGACGTGGCCGTGACTGACCACCACCACTGCGTCTTTCTGGGCCGAGGGCAGGTGCGGTGCTATTTGACGAAGCTGAACGCGCTGCAGGGCATCCGCAAGGTGCGCGTGGACGAGATCGTGAAGAACGCCTTCAAGAAGGTGCGCTTCGTGCCCAAGAACCGCAACCAGCCTTCGCCCCTCGCCGTCATCGCTCCCCAGGTCGACGGACGCATCCAGGTACCTACGTACCACATCCCTACGCCGCACACGCACCACCGCTCACGCACCCGCTCGACCGCACACGCACATGCACACGCACGCACACGTCGCACGCACACGCACACATACCAGGAATATGAGGGCCCGCTGCCGTACACGCCCCCGGCGCTGGCGACGGCGGCGAGGCCGGCCGGCGCAGTGGAGGCGGCGCTCGAGGAGGAGTTCAGGGAGGCCACCCGCGAGGCCCTCCTGCAGGAGATCGCCCGCCTGCGGCGCGAGAACCGCGAGCTCCACGACCACCTGCTCCAGTTCATGGACGGCGCACACAGCGACGACGACCACCCCGCGCACCACCACAGCGAGAACTAAACAAACAATGGAAGGGGAAACTGGCAATGCCCTACGCGTGCGTGCATGTGTGCGGTGTGCGTGTGCGGTGCGCAGCAGAAAAAAAAGATTTCCTTTCTTTTTTCTCAAGTTTTACGCTTTTCGTTCGCCTGTTCTTGGTGCTCGCCGATACGAATTAGACTTCATCGATTGTTGAGTGATTGAACACGCGATTATACACAATGGCCGTACGTACAGCTTAGTCTTGATGGATTTGCGGGATTGTGCAGGAGATCGCCTGGCGTTTAAACGATTTCTTTCGCATTTCTGGCATTTCTCGATTAGGCTAATTACGATGACATGTACGGGAGCTCGTTCACCAACGATCTTGGGTACGTTCACATGCCCTCTTTCAATCAACTGCCACCCCCGCATTCTGAATGTTGGCCTCGCATCCGTGCATTTTTACGCTGTCGATCCTCAATTCAATTCAGAATGGCTTATCATTTCCACTATCGAAATGATTTTCTTCACATCTCTTCCCCCCCCCGCTCCCAGCATTCGTTGTTCCAGCATGTGCCTGGCACGTCATCGTCCAGCCCTCCTCACCCATGCATTCCCCAATTATCGTTTTTTCCATCCGTGCAGCTACGGCTCCGAGGTCGCGCAGAGCGTCGCCGCGCACAGCGAAAACAAGGCCGGACAGCCTCGCATTCTCCTGATGGGTCTCCGTCGGTACGTGCGCCCGCGCAGCCTTCGTCCCGGGAACGCCGTCTGCAGCCAACTCAACTTGTGTCATGCGTGTGTCGTGCGTGTGTCGTGCGTGTGTCGTGCGTGTTGTGTGCGCAGGAGCGGTAAGTCGAGTATCCAGAAGGTGGTGTTCCACAAGATGTCTCCCAACGAGACCCTCTTCCTCGAGACCACCAACAAGATCGTCAAAAACGGTTCGTTCTTTCCTCTTTCTTTCGTGTGAGTCGTGCGGCGTGTGTCGTGTGTCGTGTGTCGTGTGTCGTGTGTCGTGTGTCGTGTGTCGTGTGTCGTGTGTCGTGTGTGCTTACATGTGTTCGTGTGTGCGCAGACATTTCGAACAGCTCGTTCGTGCAGTTCCAGATCTGGGACTTCCCGGGCCAGCTGGACTTCTTCGACCCGGCCTTCGACTCGGAGGCCATCTTCGGCGGCTGCGGTGCCCTCATCTTCGTCATCGACGCCCAGGACGAGTACGACGAGGCCCTCCGCAAGCTCCACATGACCGTCACCAAGGCCATCAAGGTCAACCCGCGCATCTCGTTCGAGGTCTTCATTCACAAGGTCGACGGTCTCTCCGACGATCACAAGATCGGTAAGTGCGCACTCACGCACACGCACCACCGCACACGCACCACCGCACACGCGCGTGATGATGACTTACGACACGACACGACAGAGGCACAGAGGGACATTCAGCAGCAGGCGCTGGACGACCTGGCGGACGCGAAGCTGGACGTGCACCTGAGCTTCTACCTGACCAGCATCTACGACCACTCCATCTTCGAGGCCTTCTCCAAGGTCATCCAGAAGCTCATCCCCCAGCTCCCCATCCTCGAAAACCTCCTCGACATCCTCAACACCGTACGTACCCTCCCTCCATCGCGCGTGTGCGATCAGCGTGTGCGGTGTGTGCGGTCGCGTGTGTGCGGTCGCGCCTGTTCGGTGTGAACTCACACACACTCACTCTCTCTCACTTGACACAGAACTGCCGATTGGAGAAGTCGTTCCTGATCGACGTGGTGAGCAAGATCTACGTGGCGACGGACAGCTCGCCGGTGGACATGCAGACGTACGAGCTGTGCTCGGACATGATCGACGTCGTGATCGACGTCTCGTGCATCTACGGCATGAAGGAGGACTCGGACGGCCTGGCCTACGACGACAAGTCCCAGTCCCTCATCAAGCTCAGCAACGGCATGGTCCTCTACCTCCGCGAAGTCAACAAGTGCGTGCCACTCCCCTTCCCCCACAAAGTTCACTCTTCACACCACGAGTCTGACACCACACACACACACACACACACACACACACAACACACACACTCGACACGATGATCAGGTATCTTGCCCTTGTGTGCCTCCTGCGGAAGGAGAACTTCGATAAGCATGGTATGTCATTGCACGACAAGACTTGAGAGAGATTATGATGGTGAGCTTAGCGTTTATTGGTGTGCGCTGCAGGTCTGCTCAACTACAACTTCCAGTGCCTCAAGCAGTCAATAACAGAGGTCTTCCAGGCCAGCAACACTGCCAAGTAATCACACCAACTTCAGCCACCAACCTCTGCCTCCTCAATAAATGCAATTACAATTGTCTTCATCATCTTCATCTTCAGAAAAAAAGCTCATTGGTTGAGTGTAGTCCTTTTAAGGCTGAACATGGTGCAATGGTCATTATTCTTTACAACCTACACACAACAACATGAGTGACAACCTTACCCAGTCCACAAGTGGCATTCTGTCCATGGTAATGACCTGCCATGATGCAGCCAAGCAAGTGGATGGTCAAGCAACTGGAGTGGAAGAAGTGGAAGGAGAGACCTCAAGAAGAAGAACTGTGGTGATCTTCCAAATATGTGCATGGTATGTTGATAGTGCAGTTGGTTTAATGAAAGTAATGTGATAATGATTTAATGGATTCATGTGTCTTCAAATTACTTTGCAAGTGTGGCAGAGGTGGAGAAGAACAAGACAAAACTGGGTGAATTGGTATGCACCATCCCATTGTGTATGTGTATGTGATGAACTCTTATTAGCATTATTAGATACAATTTCATTGTGTATGTGTACATCCATCATGGAGATGTCACAAGACTTGATGCACCAGAGGTAAGTGTTGGATTTTGAATGAAATGTAGTCCTTAATAAATCTCACCAATCCTGTACTTCCTTCAGGTTGATGTGACAGCCCAAACAAGACCTGCCAGCAAGTACCCTGTCAACTGCTGTGGCCACTGATGAGGAGCTGTTGAAGCTCCTGAAGGTGGTATGCTTTTCATGCTGTTTGTGAAGCTGATTTTGCTACACAACTTGTGTGACAGAAGTTTGCTAATTCATCTCCTCCTAGCCCACAGAAGAGGAGCTCTCCATGCCTCCTGAGGAGGCCCTGCTCAAGCATTATCCTGTCCTCTGTGCAGATCATGTGAAGATGAACACTGTGACAATTTACATTGACTGAATGATGAAGAGTGGCACTCACCATCATTCAGTCACAGAGTCACAAGACCACTCACCAGTTGGTGACCACAGAGTTCTCTCTACATTGATGAACAAGATGGGCATTCTGACAGTGGAGTGTCTGCTTGTTCAAGAGCTGCCTCCCTCTCAGTGCATCCTCAAAGATGCCATGCCTGAATACTGCATCATCAACAGCAATCATTGTTTTCAGACTGCAAGGCGCCTTTTCTCAGGGAAGTCTTTCAAGTGGTGTTGTGACATTGTTGATGTACATTTTGCTTTTTCTAAGGTACTTTTTTGATGTCCCTGCAGACAGGTCATTGCAGCGTCTCAGATTCACCTCCTCATGGATTCATGTAATCAGCAATGACAACAAAACGCCAGCAGGATCATATTCCAGCTCCCACTCAGGACCATGCATTATGCTGTACAGGCACTCATCATTCTTGCAATCAATGAGCACCAACTGCATGTGGTGGGGCGCAAACATGAAGGCACTAAAGTGTGAATGCCTGGCCACCAGCATCTCCACAGGGTTTGGGTGGGGGTTGCATGTGGATGACATGACTGTGAAGCAGTCATCAGCAGGCAGTCCATCAATGAAGGCCTGGACGCTGCCTTCCTTGCTGCTGTAGCTGTTGAGCTCTTCCTGCCATTTGTAGATGTTGGGTGGTGCTTGGCAGAGGTGTGTCACTGTACCTCTGGCATCCTTCTGTGGGGTGTTGAACAGTGTGTTGATGAGGGAAGTGTAAATGCGTAGAGTGTAGGTGATGTCTCACTTTCCATTGGCGCCTGTGACCTGCTTGGCCTTGGTCTCAGCAGTGATGAGGGGGCGCTTCTTCTTGGATTGCAATTCCGTGCTGGCATTGCTGTTGGACTTCCAGCATCACGAGAGTGTGATTGAACAGATGATTGGTCTGGACCTCATGGAGGTGGACGCAATGTTGTACTCCACAGCGTTGGCGAGGGCGCACGATTTAGGGTACCCCATCTACGACACCGCCATCACGGCACTCAAACACCGCAGAAGCATGTGGTTCTACGAGTCAGGTGGGAAGATAAAGAGTTGGCTTTATAGCCAGCGTTGCCGTCAAGTGCATTCGTTGTTGTGGCTAACGGCGCGCGTTGTACGGAAGCACGCTCTGGCATCGTACGAGGCGCTGCCCGTGCCGGTGGAGTTGATCGCCATAATAAAGTCTGTGTAACCGAGTATCCTAGACATAGCGCACAAGCCTCTGCGGTCCACCGTAGGCGGATTCCACCCCCCGTGGTGGGACGCGCTTTACCTTGCCGTGTGCGCACCAGAAGCCCATGACGTTTTTCCACGGCAGACCCGCGCCGGCATCGATGTTGGTCGTAGTTTGTCGCACGATGACCGCGATGCCGGGGATCATGGCCGCCAGGGAAAGATGATGGAGTAGGTCGCGGCGGTCTGGGGATGTCACGCGATCGTCCGTCATGTCAAAGTTGCCCGACGTCATTGCACTCGCGTATTGCACGACCTTGTGCACCCGATCTCCTCGAGCGTCGCCATCAACGCATCCGCGTGGGGCAAAATCGCGAGGCGGTGGCGTTTGCGTGGTGTGCTCATGGAGAAACTCGATTAATGTAATAAAGTCCGAATAGACAGGAAACAATCCCTCCCTGGGTTGCGCATGTGGATTCCGGCACATATGCGATGGAAATTGCGCCCATAACAAGATCGAAGCAATCAATCATAACGACAACCGCCGCGCGTCCCTGATGCTATGAAACAGCAATTCTTCGACCATTTCGTGTCCGCCCGTCGTGGTGCCGATTTCCCGCCCGAGTGGGACCCGGCAACATGCAAGGAGTACGACCTGTGGTATCGCAAGATGAAGGCGTCAGCGAAGCACGTTCGGCGCGGGAAGATGCCCTTTGTGCGGCCTTTCATCCGTTTGCCCATCGAGAGAAAATCTGCGTCGAGGAGGACGACGCCATACCCCAAGTGTATTCACTGGTCACTAACGTCCAGAAGATACAAGTGACTAGGAAGACATATCTCCGTTGTCTGTTGTCATCATCACGGCAAGAGGACAATCTTGCCGGCATGCGCACCATGAAGGATCTCGTCGTGTGCTTTTGGTGCATCCACCAGGGCGAACTCCTTGGCGACGATGGGTCTCAGAGAACCGTTGGTCAAACCCGCTCCGATAAAGGCGCGCTGCTCAGCTACTTCATCTGGCGTCGAACGGTGCAAAGCAAAGCCGATAACGGTAGCGTCCTTCATCATAAGAAGCCTGTTGTCCAAGGAGGGTTCCAATTAGTCAATCAATAGTAGAGATGCCATGGGGATGGGGTACATACCCTGGTGCCAACTTATCGACCTCTCCACGGCTGCCCACCACCACCACTGTACCTCCTACTTGGATGACATCGAGATCCTTCACCAAATTGACATCGGCCAGCACCTCGATGACGATGTCGACGCCAGCACCGTCCTTGGTGACCAGCTTAACGCGTCCAATGTAGTCGCTGTCTCTGTGGTTGAACACCTGATGGGCGCCTTGTTGGGTCACCAGGTCCCTGCCTTCCTTCGTGCTAGCCGTGCCGATGACCTGAAGGCCGAGGGCCACAGCGATTTGCACTGCTGCAATGCCCACACCGCCACTTGCTCCATGCACGAGAACCGTCTGCCCTGGTCTGGCCTTGGCCTTTTGTACCAGCGCTCTGGAAACAAGCATTGTGTCGTGAGCATCGATGCGAGGTATGGATGGGAGTATACGGCCTTACCTGTAGGCGGTCGAGTAGGCAGCGAAGACGCCTGCGCCTTGGCTGAAGGTCACGTTATCGGGCAAAGGATGGACTTGGTTCTGAGAGAGAGTTTGTTTTCACGAGTGGTAAGCATCTAAACTTGTGCAGGATAGGCCTGGCCAGAAGAGTACCTCTTGTGCAAGAGCATGCGAGGCATAAGTGCCTGTTAGTGCGCCGGCCAGATAGACCCTATCACCTTTCTAGTATGAATAACATCACAATATTGATGTAAGCGGCGATCAACAGTTGTCTCACCAATCCAATTCACGTCAATGGAGAGTTAGGCACCTTGAAGCGTGTGGAGGAGGGAGCGTCTACGACCACTCCGGCACCATCAAAACCGGGTGTGTGGGGTAGATTGACGGGAAAGTCCTTGGAACCGGCACGAATGTCAGCGTCCAAAGGGTTCACGCCGACGGCTTTGATTTCAACAAGCACCTGCGTATGAACAAAGTAGTCACTTAGCAGAATGAACATCTCACACTCTCAACACAAGAGAGGGAGAACATACTTGGCCGGGGGCGGGAGTGGGGACGGCCAAATCGTGCTTGAGTTCCAGCACCGACGGGTCGCCAAACTTGGAGATCACTATAGCGTGCATGTTGTTCTTGTCTTTGTTAGCTTACGGCCAGGGTTTGTTGTGGTTGTGTGTGTCTTTTTTCTTCTTCTTTTAAATTGCGCAGGCCGGCGGTGAGAGGCTATCGGCGATTGGCACCGGGCCGCAACAATGGGCTGTGATTTCTTTCCGTTGAGGCGAACTCAATTGCGCCCGTCGCAACCTAACCCTGCCGTTGCCCTTCTGTTGCGCAGATAACATTTCATAGAAGCGCCCCTATTGGTTATTCGGCCCGTCGTGATCGCCGATACTTTAATACATGTCGGCGCACGGCAGGAATAAAAAGAACAAACAGGCACACAGAAGCATAACAACGCCCGCAAGAAGAAGAAGAAGTAGCAACAATTTACAGCATGTCGTTCCCAAGAATTCTGGTAACTGGCATAACGGGCTACATGTACAGGCTACTCTCCTTCTCTCCTCCTTTGTTCCTTCTTCTTCTTCCTGCATAGATGTCTAATCATGCTTTCTTGATTCTTCCATAGTGGAGGCTCAATCTTGACGACACTCCAAAACAGCACTGACGTGGACATCAAGAACACCCAATTGTTCGGTCTTGTGCGCAGCGAGGCACAGGCAAACGCCCTTAAGAGCAAAGGTACACAGGCTGTGCTCTTTCCTGGACTGCACGACAGAGACTCTCTCCGGAAGATCGCTAGCGAGTATGACGGTATACTCCACCTACCATGTCCAACCCCATCATGACGTTTGTCGAGTGACCCCCCCCCCGTTCATGGATACACACAGTTATCATCGATTCAGCGGCTTCTTTGGATCCGGAGGCCGCAAGAGCGCTGGTTCTTGGCTTAGCTGATCGCAAGAACGGCACCGGCAAACAGACCTACTTCATTCACGTACGTCCATGCCTCCATCATCATCAACCTCATCACCATCGTCGTCATCGTCATCATCATGGTGTTGGCTTACCACGGGGCAATTGCAGACTTCCGGCACGTCCAACCTGAGCGATCGTCCCATCTCTGGTCAGTACCTCGAACCAGTGCCAAGATTCTTTTCGGACAAGGATGACATCTACAGCTACGAGAAGGAGAGAGAAGCGAAGGAGGAGTACGACCAACGAACGACAGACATGGCCATCATTGATACGGCGAACGAGGTCGGCGTAAAGACATACATCATCGTCGCACCCACCATCTTCGGCACCGGCACTGGTCACTTCAACAAGTTTTCGATTCAAATCCCCGTCATCACCCGCCAGGCGATCAAGTCCGGCCAGGCGGAGGTCATCGGCGAGGGAAAGGGCGAGTGGGACCACGTCCATATCGCGGACTTGGTCCTCCTCTACGAGTTGATCTTGGCGAAGGTCTTGAAAGGTGAGGACCTGCCTTGCCTCCAGCGAGGAATCTACTTTGCCGAGACAGGCCGGCACACTTGGTTCGAACTCTCCCAAGGCGTTGCAGCTGCAGGACTCCACCTGGGCGCTTTGAAGACCGACAAGGTGAAGAGCGTCACTCTGGAGGAAGCTGCACGCTGGTTCGGAGGTAGTGCTTCCTTTGCTGAACTTGCATTCGCTTCCAAGTACGTAACATGTTATCCTTTTCGATCTCAGCGTGCTGTTGGCCTCATCACTCATTAACTAACTTTCGCTCTGTCTGACTCTCGGATCAGTTCTCGGACGAGGGGTGATCTAAGCAGAGAGATTGGTTGGAAGCCCTCCAAGACCGAGGAAGATTGGCGATCGACCTTCCGTGCCGATTTCAGTGCGCTCCTCAAAGAACAGCAAGCGTAAGCATGTCTCTCTATGTGCTGTGCCGCGTTTCTCGTGCGCGAAGACCCATAATAATGACCCTTTCCCTTCGCCTTGGGTGTGCACACACGCAAACACCAATACGCCTGAGAAGATAACATGCTCGTCTTGAACGGAGCAGACGGCGGTCGCGATGCCGAGTCCATGGCGGCCATCGCGAGGCCAGAGTTGGAACGGCATGCGCGCCATCATTTAGCGTCGCGCTCATAGTGCGAACCGATAGTGGCATGCCGAATGGTCCTTTTTATTGGTCTTCATCAACGTCCAGCTTGCGCCGTTTGTTGCTGTTGCTGACGAAGAAAGGACCTCCCTGGGATAAATCAAAAGATAGAGAGTACATCAATGGGTGGGGGGGGGGTTGTAGAGAACAGAAGAGGAGGAAGAAGGAATGGCCCTCCTCAGGCAGATCAGAAGTCGGCGGGACCCATGTAGCCGACGTTGGTGGTGGCGTGCGTGACCTCGTGGAAGGGATTACTCTGCACGGCCACGCTCACGGGCACCTCGGAGAGCTCCACATCTTCGGTCGGGATCACGCGGCGCTGCTTGAAGCGGAGCAGGATGAACGCGCCGGCGCCCACGCAGCAGCACGCGCCCACGGCCATGAGCGCCACGGCGCCCATGGTGCCGCCGACGATGGCGCCGATGAGCTTGCCCTCGTCGTCGCTGGTGGTCGGGCGCTCGACGGGAATAGAGCAGTTGGAGCCCGTCCAGCCCGACTCGCACACGCACGCGCCGTTGAGGCACTTGCCGTGCAGCGAGCAGAACTCGCGGCAGAACTGGTAGTCGGTCTCGTTGTTCATGTTGCCGCTCACCTCGCAGTACTCGAGCCAGGCCTGGCCGTTGAGAATGGCCGAGTCGCGCTGGCCGTTGGTCGTGTTCCAGTCGTGCAGGCACGATTCGTACCAGAACGTGGGCGGCAGGTGCGACTGGCTGCACTTGGAGATCGTGTCCGGGTCCAGGGTGGTCAGCTCGCACTGGTCCTCGCCGCCGCCGCCACCGCCGCCGCCGGGCGTGCCGCCGGGGGTGACGCTGCCGGGCAGGGTGGGCGGGATGACCGAGCAGCCGCAGCCGCAGTGGCACGAGTGGTCGATGTCCCAGCACTGGCTGTAGGCGTCGGCCAGGTCGGCCGTGGGCAGGTAGTAGGTCTGGCCGTTCGGGCACTGGAGGCCGAACCCGGGCGCCTCGCCGCCGTTGGAGCCGCACAGGCCCTCGAGCTGGTCGAAGTAGGCGCTGGGCGTGCCCACCGTGACCGTGAGCCAGCGGATCGTGGCCGACACCAGGAGCGAGGTCTTGATGCGCAGGCCGCTCGCCAGCACGAGCTC